AGGAGGTTCTGTAGTTCAAGGTTATCCTTATCTACAACAGGACATTTGAAGCCAGCCTGGGCTATCATGGACCCTGTGTCAAAACAAAACAAAATATAGGAATGCTGGCCAGGATATGGAGGTGGAAGTGAGAATGAAAATTAGTACAAAACAGATAAAAATGTAGAAGTTCCTGCTGGTCATATCAGGGCATGCCTATAATCCCAGTACTCGGGAGGCAGGAAGTAGGAGGAGCAGAAGTTTGAAGCCAACACGGACTATATAGGGAGCTCAAGGCCAGCTTGAGCTACATATGGAGATCCTGTCCCAAAAATAAACAGGCTGGAGGGATGGCTCGGTGGCTAAGAGTACTGACTGCTCTTCTAGAGGACCCAGGTTCAATTCCCAGAACCTTATATAATGGCTCCACAACTGTCTGTAATTCCAGTTCCTGGGAATCCACAACCCTCTCCTGGCCTCCTCAGGCACCAGGCACACACCCATTCACATAACATTTTTTTTATTTTAATTTTTAAAATTTTCATCTTAAGTAGCAGAAAATATTTTGTGTGTATTTATGAGGTACAATAAATTTTCGCTGTTTATTTTACTTTACAAAATGTATACAAAAATAAAGAAAAATAAACCTAAACTAAAACAAAATACATAATTATCATATGGTCCAGCTCCAGCACCAGCAAACAGAGACACCTGCATAGCATGTCTACCAGGCAATGTTGACAACAGTCGAGGCGTGGCGTTAGAGTAGACATCTATCAACAGATAAGTGGATAAAGAAAACTATATAATCCCAGCACTCGGGAGGCAGAGGCATGTGGATCTTTGTGAGTTCGAGGCCAGCCTACTCTACAAAGTGAGTCCAGGACGCCAAAGGACTATTACACAGAGAAACTCTGTCTTGAAAAACCAAGAAAAAAATTATATGTATATGTATTGTTTATACATGACATATATGGTATGTATATAAATGTGAAATATATATTCAGCCATACAGAAGATTGAAATAATGTTGTTTACAGGAAAATTGATGTAACTAGAGATCATCATATTAAAGAAAATAAGCCACACTCAGAAAAACAAGTGTCTCATGTTTATTCTCATATGCAGGTCTCATGTTTATTCTCATATGCAGGGAGCACTAACAAAAGCCTGGAGGTAAAAGAAAGGCTATTTAAATAGAGCAAGATGCTGGGATGAGGGAGAAGAAGAAGAGGGCAATAAGGAGGGTGTGGACATGACCAAACACATAGTATGAATGTATGACAATGTCATAGTGAGGGGCCTGGGAGATGGCTCGCTGGCAAAGCACTTGTCCGTGCAAGCACGGGAACCTCAGTCTAGATCAACACACATGAAAAAGCCAGGCATGGTAGCAGGTGCTTGTAATCCCAGCATTGGGGGAGCAGAGACAGGAGGATTTCCGGGGTTTATAGGACCACCAATATAGCTGAGTTAGTGAACTGGGGGCTCAGTGAGAGACCCTGCCTCAAAAAAAAAAAAAAAAAAAAAGACAGGGATTGAGGATACTTGATGTCAATCTCTTGCCTTCACATACAAGTAGACATATACATGTTCACACACACACACGGACAGAGACAAGCAGAGACATACAGACAGAATGTCCTGCGAATGTCCAGTGAATGTCCTGAGATGCACAGATGCACAGGGCCGGTGTCATATTTCCACAATAAGGAATTACCCAGAATGCCTCAAACAAGTGTAAACAAGCCCCACACCTTGAAGCTTGTTACAGAGCCCAGGAGGCCTGTGTCTGCCGTGCCGGGCCTGGTCCAGCCTGCCAGGGGTGACGGGACTTTCCAGCTCTCCCTCCTGAACTGAAAGCCATGCTACCCACCCTTCCTGCCCAGGAACTTTCCCTTCTGAGCTGCCTTGCCGCTGCTGCCTCTCCCCTCCTTTGGCAGCTCCCCGCTTGGCAAAGCACAGGCAGCCAGCCTCGAAGCCCTGGGAAAATTCCTAACCTTTGCTTTGGTTTCCTCCAGCTCTTGGCAGCTCTTGGGAGGCCCTCAGCACATGTGCCCTGGGCTGGACATGCTGAAACTCCCCATTGTTCTTACTGCCTATGCCTCAGGCCTGCGCCTTCTTCTGTACCTCCTACGTGGAGCCCTGCTGGGTGTACTGAGGGTCAGGTGCTAGGCAAGAGCGAGGGTAGGGTCTGGCCCCAACCCTGGGTGGGCACAGGCAGGAGGGATGCTGAGCCTGTGTGGGAGCTGGGGAACCTGAAGCTCTCCTCCCCTTTCCTTCCTGGACTCTGGTGACCTTGAGTCAGGCCCTCCTCCTCCCACTCCTGGAAATGTGCAGAAGTCGAGTCCCTAGAGACACAGAGAGGGCTTGTGGGGAAAGCTGACAGTGCCTGTTATGGGGGAAGGCTGAGGCTTTCTGCATAATGGATGTGCCTCAGCTGCGTGGCTGCTTTTGTGAAAGTGTATCTTTGCTAGCCAAGAAGCCCATCTCTACCTTTTCTTCCTAGGCTAGAGGCTGTCCTTCCTGGCAGCTATGTTTCCTGAGGCCTGCACGCAGCTGTTAGTGTGTCGTCCCAGGGAAGACACTCCTCCAAGGGCTTTGTGTCCGAACAGGAGTGGTGATATATCTTGGCAGGGAAGCCCAACGCCCGTTCAACAAGCAGCCTGGATTTGGGGCTCCTGCATCGAAGACCAGCTGCCTCAGCCTTGGCCTGCGGGGCACCACTCTGCTGCTGTGTGAGCTTTAGTGATGTGTCGATCAGCTCTGGGCCTTGAGCTACCAGCCACGAAAGTACCTCGGGTAGGAGGAGCCTGCTACTGGGAGTAATACTGTGTGTCCCCACCCTGCGTGGGACAAGGAACACCTTGCTCCATCCTTGATGAGATCTGAAGCCCTGAATGGCGTCCCCTTTCCTCTGAGATGTCACAACAATGTGGTCATCTCTCCCACACTCAGCATGGCCCCCACCACAGACCAAGTCTCTCTGAAGCAGCTGTCTTGGGTCTGAGGAGCCCAGGTTCTAGACACCTGACCACGCCAAGGAGCTGAAGAGAACCTCTTACCCATGAGAGCCAAATGTGCTCCTTGCTAGCTCCTCGTCCCTGCCCCTGAAGGATCCCCAGGGGCTTGGGAAGCAGCTAATCATGTCCATCTTCTGTCCTGGGACTGGCAGCCTGGAAAAGCATGCTTGGCCGTGGTGGGGCTGCAGGGTGAGAGGAAGCATGCTTTTCCTGGCTGCCTGCAGAGGCTCCAACTTGTTCTGTTTCACTCTTCTTCCAAAGGCTCTTATCCCTGAGAGTCCAAAGCCTGCCTGGCCCCTGAGCTCTGAAAACTGGAGGGCCAAATAGACAGCAGGAGAGCTGGTTTGGGCAGCAGAGATTTGGTGACTGATACTGATTCTCCATCCCCATCCTTACCCCTACCCTGAGCTGATGGAGTAATGGATCACAGCTCCTAGGACCCCCTAACCTCCCTTCCCCTTCTGTCCAAGGACCTGAGCAGCACTTCCGCCTCCTGTCACCGGAACATGGGAAGCAATCAGCCCAGGAAACTGAGGTATTTCCTTCCTTTCCCACCAGGTCCTCCAGATAGATACTTCAGTAACTTGGGCTTGGGCTGCAGGGTCCAAGCTTCTGGGGATGTGGGAAGGAAAGCCCAGTCGGCAGGAGTCCTAGCTCAGGTCATCTGGGCCGTGCAGTATGCACAAACCCTTTAGTCACTGGAGTCTGGCAACACCCTCAGGGAAGGCTGGAGGGTCCTGTCCTCTGCTCTCAGGGGCTAAGGGAGCAAGCAGGCCATCTCTACATCCAGGACGTGGGAAGAACCAGGACCAAAGCGCCTCCTTTCTGGCCTCTCAAGTTTCTCCATCCTTTCCTTCACAATGGGAGGAGGAATTTGCAGACCAGGACCTGCCGCTGGTGGCTTTGGGGAAGAAAGGCTTGGTCCCTGGTCCTGAAGCCAGAGGCGGGAGGCAGGGCTGCCCGAATCAACAGCCGCCTGTGCTTGGGAGCCTGTGGTAGAACTGAAATGGACAGGACACCTCTTTCCCTACACCGCCCCTAGCATGCTTTCCAGAAAGCACCCAGCAGATATTCCCTCGGGGGTGTCAGAAGCAGATGGAAACCTGGTCCGGACAGGCATGGGAACTCTATCACACACCCTCTCCTATGTAGTAGGGAGGCTGTGAGTGGGCGAGTTGGCACACTATAGATCGAGGGGTTCCACTCTGAGAGCTGGGTGTGAAAGTGAAGGTCCAGCTATCCTAATCCTTGGTTGTGACCAGCGGCCAGTTAGTCAACCATTGTAAGCCTTAGGCTCCTGGGCTGTGAATAAGGCTGTAGGCGTGGTTAATGTGGATAATACTTGAAAAACGGAGCCCCAGAGGCTGTCCCAGCAAGTGGCCCCTGTGCTCTGCCTTGGACATGTTCAGTCATGAGACTCCAAATCCTGAGGGACAGATCAGAGTCCAGGCACCTCTAAGCATAAAGAGGATGTTAGAAAACCATGTCTGGGGCCCGGCTGAGTCCTGTCCACATAGGAGGCCTCCTGGAATCGCTCTAGGATTCCCCGCCTCCACGAGCTCTGGGGATTGTGGTGCCCTTGCTCACTGTTCAGCAATACATGGTCTGGTACCATGGGCACTTAGATCCAAATGCCTTCCCTGGGAGCGGCTGTCCCCTAGGGTTTAGGCTGGGCCAGCCTTGCTGGGGCTCAGCTTTCAGAGCTGAGTTCCTTCAAAGAGCAGGAGCCACAGCCTCATCAGCTGGAAGCATCTAGAACAACAGTCCCTCTTGAGCCCCAGGCCAGTAGTGAGAGCTGCTTTCCTAGTTGCAGCCCCAGCCAAAGCCCCTTGCTAAGGGTCAAGCAGGGATCACCCTGGTATTCTCAGCCTGGGCCGGAGAGCACTAGCACAGAAAACTAGCACCCGTTAACCACAGAGATAGCCACACATCAGCCCATTCCACAGATGTGTTTCGGGGACTCAGATAGTGACCTCTGCCAAGGCTGGATTTCCTTACCGTCTGACAGGGTCTCTGCCGGTGTCCTCAGCCTCTATTTTCCAGTCTGCAGTCACCCTGGCTCTGTTGGGATCAGAGAACTTGGTACCAGGGTCCTGTGCCCAGGCCCCTAGCAGCCCCCAGCTCAGGTACCCCCCAAGGCCCAGCAGCAGTGTGAGGATCATGGCGGGCTTAGCTGATTCTGCTGAGGCTCTGCCTTGCAAGTGACTCCCAAATTTGCTGGTGATGTGGTCTTCAAATGAAATCTCAGAAAGAAAAGAAAACACGAGGACAACAAAGGGAGGAAGTGGCTTGGTCCGGCCCACCCGGTAAGTCTCATCCGCCCCCGCCTTTTCCAGCCTGGCCCCCTCTGAGGCCACCAACCACTCAGGCCAATTCCTGTGTCCTAAGGGCTCTTTAATCAGGGACACTGCGGGTATGAAGACACATGAAGGTGGCCCTGTCAAATCCATTTCTACAGGATTCTGTGCTGGGCCTGGAGATAGAGCTGTAGAAAGTGTGGGTCTCTGGAGATCTGCTGTCCCCATACTGTTGGCCAGGAAGTAGGGAGCAGGCACACCCACGCCCTCTCAGCACCTGTCTGTGCTGGTCTCTGGGAGCCAGCAAGTGGGTAAAAGCTCAGAGAAGAAAAGGAACTATGCTAGCCACACAGCGTACAGCCCCATCTAGGGCATGGGGGAAACTTTGTGTGTTTCTGACCACAGCTTTCCAACAGGTTTGACTGGAGCTCCAGGCTCAGGAGCACCCAACAGATATTCCCTTGGGGGTGTCTGGGGGTGTGGGTAGCTGGGCAACGAGGACAGCCTGTAGGGTGGTCACTCACTGGGCAGGCCCTGACCCCTGCCCAGCCAGGGACACTGAGGCATCAGCCAAGGCATTTATCTTCTGTACACAATGGCCAGGGCACAAGACCACCAGGGCTCCCCAAGGATAAATGAGGGACAGTGATAGATTAGGATATGTCTGGCCTCCCTAGAAGCATCCCCTCCCCTGGGATGACAGGAGTCAGCAGGGCAGAAGTGAGCCAGTGGGGCCCAGGCCCTGCTCTCTGGTGTCCTCTTGGGGCATGCTTCCCTCCAGCCCTCCCTCCCTGCCCCCACCCTGCCCTTGGCTGGCTGGAGCCCAGCCAGCAACCACAGCATCAATATTTTATCCGAGTCAATAAGAGGCAACGGCAGCAGAGACAGCGGCTGCAGCGCTCCAGTCCACAGCTCGCAGCAGTCAGGTCCTAGCCTTGCAACCACCATGGATGTCTTCAAGAAGGGCTTCTCCATTGCCAAGGAAGGTGTGGTGGGTGCCGTGGAGAAGACCAAGCAGGGAGTGACGGAGGCAGCGGAGAAGACCAAGGAGGGGGTCATGTATGTGGGTGAGTGTGGCGAGAGGGGTGGGGCAGGGTGGGGCAGGAGGCTTTCTAATGGATGGTGGGATCTTCTACTTTCCCTCTGCTGATTCCCCTCAGCTTCCGGGGAGCATTTTGAGAGAGATGAAATCCTGAGTGTTGAGGCAGGGTCCCCACACCCTGGAGATCATGCTAGTATCTGTTTGTCTTTGGAACTCTGCGTGGAGGGACTCGGGTCTCTAAGACAGGATCAGAGTGCCACTCAGATCACCTGAGTGTGTACACACGAAAGTGCGCGCACACACACACACACACACACACACACACACACACACACACACACGCCTGGGGTCTCCTAACCCTGGAGTCCCCGAGGCAATGATCTGCTCAAGTGGACCCCATTTCTCCAATGGGAGCTGCAGACCACATGACCCCACTTGGCCTAGAGGAAATGAGTAGGCTGTGCAAATGAGTCCAGTTTAGTGCTTAACCCACTCCTGATCTGGTATCGCTCCAAAGAGGGGGCAGGGGTGGCCAAGCCTGTGACTCAGCTTTCTCTGCCCTGTTCAGCTGCTGCTTCTGAGGCCCGGGCCACACCCATGCCAGGGCTGTAGACCCACCAGTAGCCCTACCTCAGGCCTGGTCTCTTTGTCTCCTCTTCCTGTCCTGTCTCCTTCCCGTCTGTCCTCTATCCTTCAGACATAGCAGGAAATGGCCCTTTGAAGGGGCTGCTGTCCCCGGACAGCATCCTCATCCCCTCCTGGCCCCCACAGTGTGTCCAGCTGTTTGCCCTGACTATCTGCACACTTCTTCCCTCCAATAGGCACCAAAACCAAGGAGAACGTGGTACAAAGCGTAACCTCAGGTAAGGTGACCCAGAATCGGGGACCTCGCAAATCTTGTCTTATACCTGGGGCCCACACCTGGAGTCCTCCTTGAATCGACTTGACCCTAGCCCTAGCTGAACCAAATCCGTATATTCCCTGAAGATAGACCAGAGCAGGCTCCCGCCCCACCCCCATCATATTGTTGCTGCCTTGAAGAAAGGCATGGAAGTAACCAGGAGTCAGCTCTGGGAAGGGGCTGTTCTCCCCAGCTTGGAGGCAACAGAGGAGAGGACTAGGGCTGAGTCCAGCTGGACTTCTCTGCAGTGGCTGAGAAGACCAAGGAGCAGGCCAATGCCATGAGTGAAGCTGTGGTCACCAGTGTCAACACAGTGGCCACCAAGACTGTGGAGGAGGCGGAAAACATCGCGGTCACCACCGGGGTTGTACAAAAGGTGAGCCTGGCTCATGTCCTTTCCCTAGGCTCCCTAGGAGATGACGCTGCCCTGTTGGAAACTATAGTATTAGACCCTGTTTGGCTTTACAGGCAGCACCCACTGTGTGTTGGGGCCACTTGGCGTTTTTATACCTATTCATATCTGGTATCCTTACCATAACCCTTAGAATGGGGACTTAGAATTTATTTTATGCACAAGGAAAGTGGCACTCAAACCACGCCCAGCCCGTCACTTTTGACATACACTTTACAAGGTCCCTGTATGGTGAAAGGTGGCCTTCTAGATAAGCTAAAGCTGCCAAACCACCACCGGGGCTACCTGTTATCCTTCGTCCAACCTCCCTCGGTCCCGGGGTCTGGCTGCTGCTCCCAAAGAAGCAATGATGGCAGCACTGCCCACTTGTGGCGGACAAGCAGCGGAGCTCTGACTCCACCCTCTGCTCAAGTCTTTGTGTGAGCGGGTGGCTTGTATGTGCACTATAGGTAGGGCGGAGATGTGTGTAAACGTGTATGCACATGATTCATGTGTGAACACGTGTGCATATGTAGGCAGGCAGCTGAAAGACTCGGGAGCATCAGACCAAGGAGCAGGCCAGTGCCATGAGTGAAGCTGTGGTCACCAGTGTCAACACAGTGGCCGCCAGGGATAGATGACAGGAGCTGTTTCAGCACTTGCCAAAGAGCACCCTCTGTTTTAAGCCTTTTACACTCATTAACCCAGCTCCCAGACTCCACAGCATAGGATGTAGAAAGGAAGGCCTAGAGCAATTAGGTGGTGTGATGTACCTCAGTCATGTGGAGGTCCCATGTGTGACCAGCTCCTGGGTTATACCCTTGAAAGGCTGCATATAGATTGTGGAGGGATGGGGACTCCAGAATGGACGTTGGGAAGGAGCTGCTTCCAGACTTGTTATCTTCAGCCTCCCCTACACTTAGAACAGGTGGGGCCCCTGGGTCCCACGCAGCCAGCACTGCAGAAGTCTGCTTTGAGGAGTGGGGGAAAGGGGAGGGGTCACCCACCCCAAACACCTGCTTCCAGGCCCAGCGAAGGTTCTCCCGCCACTGGAGTGCTGCAGGTGCACCTCTGCAGGCTGTGTGACTTTGGGAACATCCTATCTGGATCCCCACTTCCTCATCTGAAATGGTACCACCTCATGGGGCTGTGGGAGAAGGCAGAGGAATGGTGCCAGGAAGCAAGTCTGCCAGGCACATCATCATTGCCACCAGTCACCAGTGCTGTAGGCAGCTCAGGAAGCCCGCTCCCAAGTCACCAAGAAGAAGGATCCTGGGAGCAAGTTCCAGGCCGCCCTACTAATCCCGAAGATGCTACTGAGTCTTTGGAGCTGTGCCAAGGGACAGTCATTTTTCTGGTGACACACAAACTAGTGCTGATGCCACGCCCTCCCCCTGCCAGTGACCTTCAGAAGAATGCAGCGTGGCTGTCTAACCACTCATGCCATGGGTTTCAGGTGCCATTCTTAGGGCAGTATGCCTAGGCAAGCAGTCCCCTGCCCTTCGTCCAGGTGGTTCACTCTGACTCATAGAGCTTTTGGCTCTGAGGTAACATAGGTAGTTTCTGAGAACAGATTCTAGACTGACTGTCAGTTTAGTTCCAAACTCCTTGCTGTCATGGCCATGTAAGCAAATGCTATAGTGATCGGGGAAATACAAGACAGGCCTGAGCCAAGATCCCATCCAGAAGGCAGGAAGAGGGACCCACACTACTGAGGACCTGAGAGGGACCTGGAGCAAGCAGGACCCATGCCAACAAACTTTGAGCTCTGAGGCCTTGCACCAGTATGTCGGCCCTGACCCCTAATCTCAGGGTCTCCGTGAACAATGATGCATGCTACTGTTCATACAGCCTAAGCAAGGGGGTTCATGTGACTCAAGGGTCTCTCTCCACCCCCAAACTTACTGCACGTCCTCCAGGCTTTCTCACTTAAGGAACCCAAGCATACTGGGAGGCAGGAACCTTGGGATCTGTCTGCGGAAGGGGAAGCTGGGTTGCAGGCTATCTGGTACACACAGAAGTCTTTCTTTGGTATCTGGCACCTCTGGACCCTCTAAGCACTGGAAGATGATGAAAGGCCTCTGCTGGTTGGGGAGATCTGGCGGCAGTGTGTGTGTGTGTGTGTGTGTGTGTGTGTGTGTGTGTGTGTGTGTGTGTGTG